GAGCCTGCTCGCTGCTGCGACAGACTGTGGTTTCGGCCGCCCCTGGAGCGGTGACACGGGCCCAGAGCAGTCACACAGAAATGCACACACATGGCTTCAGTAACAGCATTTGGGCAATCTTCTGCAACATGGAAGGGGAAAAAAAAAACCAACACAACTTTGTTCTAAAAATGACCCAGGCCATAGGAAATGCTGGGGGTTGAGGCAATGTGTTTGCTTAACAGCACTGTGCACAGCAAGCGGTAAGCAGCGGGCGATTGCTCTGGGAGGGGGGAAATCCTCAGGTGCATAGCCCGGGATCCTCAGCACTAGAGTCCTGCCTTAAAACGAAAAAAGGAAAGCTCCCCTGCTACGGCAGCAGCACGGGGCAGAGGTTGGGTCGTTGGCATCGCCTGGAAAGGAGCAAAGCTGGGACAGTCTCTAGACGGGGACTCTGCAGAGCTGGTCCCCAAGGGGGCGGGGGGGCCACCACTGATTTTCTGTGGCTAAATTGGCCTGAGCGGGGTAGGGACCTTTCGGGTGTGGGTGGCGGGCTCAGCTGATTGACGGACAAATGACTGATTGATGCAGCCCGGAGGTTTTCTGGGTGACCTGGCAGCACCTGCGGGCCTGGGACGTGAGCGCGTGCCCTTGGCTTTAAAACGAGGAGCAGCTCTGGGGTTGAGGAAGGCAGCAAGGACCCCGGGGCTATTGCGGAGGGGAAGAGTGGCTCGTGCTGCTTTTGGTGGTCTGCACGCTCAAAACATCAGTTCTTGACTCCAGGCTTTATTTTTGGAAAGGAAGGGGGAAGCACGGGGCTGTATGGGCACATGAACTGCTTATGGATTTTGCTGCTGGCTCACCGGAGACCCGGCCTGCTGCGAGGCGTCCCGGTGTTTTGGGGAGCCACGCGCCGTGGTTTGGACGCCCAGCGTGACCGCTGTGTTGCACGGCATAGCCTGCCCCCCTTTCCCTGTGAGGGTGGGGCGCCGGCCCCACCGGGGGCTTCTCCTTTCCCAGCAGCGCTGCTGGGGCTGCCACGGGGGGGTTGTAGAGCCCGGCCTGGAGCTCATCCTCCCTCCGCGCCCGCAGAGCGGGGCCCTGAGGCGCTGCAAGGCTGCGTGTGTGCACAAGCAGAGATCCATGTGCATCCTCGTGCAAACGTGTCAGCGCTCACGGACTGGCACCGGGGGGGGGGAACTCACAGGCGTGGCTGGGTTGGCAGGACCTGGATCTGAATTACAAACAAAAATGGTGGCGATCGGGCTGAGCCAGGCGCCGCAGCTGGGGCGATTGACCTCCCGAGATGCGCGCCGCCCCGCTCGGATGCTGCTGCGTTGAGGTCACACGCCGAAAGGCCGCGGGAGCGGGGAAAGCTTCTGCAAAGCAGTAATGACGCCTGCGCGCTTTGGGAGCCCTGGGACTTTGATTTTGTGTCCCCGTGAGGGCTAACTGTAGAGCAGGACCACTGGAGCGTGCCTGCCCTTAGAAACTTCTCTTGCATGAGAATCCACTGGCTATTTTGAGCATCTCAGCTAGCAGCGCAGGCGCCGCTCGCCAGGCTGCGGTCGCGACTCTCGCCCCCACGCGGGGTCTCGGTCAGGGTCGCTGGTCTCGGGGGAGGCGGTTTCACGTGGCGGGGATGCAGCGGACCCCACGGACCCCGTGGGCCGAGGGGCAGCTCGCAGGACGGGCCTGGGAAACTCTGCCGAAGCGTCCCGGTGAGGGGGCAGGAGCTGTTTGG